AGACACAGACATACAGAGAGAGTTCAACTGGCAGAAAAGGTCATTTCTAGGGAAATGAACCAGCAGCTCCCGACTTTACAGGGCAACAGAAAACAGTCTCCCCAACAGGTGATTCCAAGCTGTCCCTGCAGAAAGGGACCTGTGCTCTTCTGCTTGGTCACCTACAAAGTCTGCCTTGGAGCCCAGCCGCTGCCTCTGGTCCTTGTGGAGAAGGCCTTGCAGGAGGTCACAGGCGGCCACTGTCCGGCCTCCGGGGATCTGTAGTGGTTGATGTAAAATGTTCTCATACATCTGGGCCACGTCACTGTTGAAAAAGGGGGGCTGGGGAGACAGGGAGAGAAGCTGGGGTTCAGCCATGAAACCATAGAAAGGGATCTTATCAGGGAGTGTTAGCGCAAACTGGATGGGCAGGAGTGTGTAGCCAGGCCTGCATCTCGTACCACAGCTCGGGGGCAGATGGGGAGAGAAAGGACCTCCAGGCCTCCAGCACAGGGGAGTACTGCTGAGAAAGCCACAGACTTTTCACATGCACAGGAGGCTCCCGGAGGTCCTGGGACCCCTCACCCTCATCATTTCTTCATGGCTTCATAGCCAAGATGAGAGAAGACAAGGCTGGGGACCACTAAACCACACAGCTAAGAAAAGAGCGGGACTAAGTTATACCCACGGTCTATCCCTCCTTGCTCTTCCTCCAGCTCCTCTACCCACTTGTCCTTCCGAACCCACAGAGCTCAGTCCTTCTACAGCACGCCATGCTGGAGAATCCAGCCCAGAGTAAAGCCAGCCTCAGGCAGGTCCACACAGGCTTCCACCTAAGCACACAGCCCAGGATGGCGCCCAATCTACCAGCACCGTGACCTTTCAGTCTCAGTTTCTCTCTTAGTACAATAAAAGTAACTCTATGCTCTGCCAAGAGGGTGTGTTATAAATGGTAACTGAAAATAACACTGTTTACAAGAGATACACATTCCTCATATTCACTTCGGCCTCATCTTTCATTCCCAGGGTAGATGGACAGCTTGTTTAATTTCCTATGCAAAGCTAGAGTAAGCTGCATAAAATGGGGACCAGCCTCAGCTTTCCCAGGCCACCTGTGCCCTGTAGACATCTCTGTCCACTCACCAGGCCATGCAGCATCTCGTAGAGGACTGCCCCCAAGCACCACCAGTCCACCGCTCGATCGTAAGGCTCTTTACGAAGCACTTCAGGGGCCAGGTACTGTTGGTGGAAGTACAGTTATTTGAGGATGCCTAGCCTCTGCGTCTGTATCTGTAAAGAAGGCACTTGAAGGGGTTGTTCCTACTGTCATAGTTTCATGGCTTCTCCTGTGTTCATTAGCGTCCATTCACCAGAGGCCTGGTTGGCGACAGACAGACTCTTTGCAGTGCACTGGGGACATACAGGAGATCAGGCAAGACTGTCCTGTGTAGTTGTGCTCACTGTACATTGCACAGGAGTACCAGCCAGAGGGGTGAAGGGAGCGACGACCAGTTTGTGATCCACTGGCTAAGCTAGAATGGTAATTCAGAAGCAGGGAGTGCCTTCTCATTTGCACATAGTCACCTGTGGTCACCTATCTGTGTCCTAGCACTGGGAAAGCCCTGGCAGCACCTCACAGTATAGCAGGGCAACAACGGGGCAAAGCTAAAGGAACGTGGCACGCACTTGTTCTGGAATCCTTAATGCACGGGAGATGGTCAGGAAAGGGTGGTATTCCAGGTCACATTGATGGATGGGAACATGCCAAGATCTGTGCCTGGTACAAGGGGAAAACCACAGGCAGGTCTGCTTCTGCTAGTCGCAAGGGTTTAGTGACCTCCTGGCGTGGGGTTCTCTGCTGCTAAGGAACAGAGTCCCAGCAACAGACACAGCTACCCTGAGGGATGTATGGGTCTGGAAGGGACGAGAATCAGACAGCCCTGAGTCCTCTTCCGTGTCCGGGTCCAGGCAGAGCACTGGACCTGGCAGAACTTTGGCTTCCTTATCCTTAAAATGGAAACATAGTTGGAGTGGAGGCTGGAGAGCTGGCTCGGTTGGTTAATGCTTGCTGTGTACGCATGAGGATCCTATATCCAGATCCCCAGCAGTCACATAAGAGCTAGGTGAGACGGCTCACATATGTAGCCCTCGTGATACGGGGTAGTGTGTGTGGGGGGGGGGGAGATAAGCAGATCCTTGGATCAATGGCCAACCAGCAAATCAATGAACTGCAGGTGCAGTTTGAGACACTGTGTCGAAAATATCATGTGGAAAGTGCTCATGGAAGACACATGACATCAACCTCTAGCCTCCATATGCATGCATGTGCATATGAACCTGTCCACATGAACATGTGCATATACAACACACACACACACACATACACACACACACACACACACACACACACACACACACACAATTAATTACTAAATAAAAGTAGGGACTGGGTTGGGGATTTATCTCAGTGGTAGAGCGCTTGCCTAGCAAGCACAAGGCCCTGGGTTCGATCCTCAGCTCCA